ACACACACAGTGTTAGTAATATTTGTATTTTCTTGGCTAAAACGGCTAGATTCTTAACTGAGAATTCTGTAAATTGTGTACTGATAAAAAAACAAAATGTGTTTTACAATTTAAAAAAATGACTAAACATATGAGTTGCATAGATATTGCGCAAGATATTGCATGTCACTAGATAATTAGAGAAAAAAAAGAGGTATTCACTCTTTTCTTCAGTTCTTCAGAAATTTTCTTTTTCCTTACCTAAAAATCACATTTTTTGTATAAGTCCTTTCAAGATCATCTCAATTTTTCTTTTGACGATACGAGTTTTTTCTCATTTTCGTTTTTCATTACTTTTGTTTTCTAACATTTGAAAAACACAATATTTCTCGTGTGCTTTTTGGAGAATTTGGAGTTTAAAAATGAAAATAAAATCGTTTATGTCTATCAACGGGTTTATTTTGCGACTCGTAATAGAGTTCTATCGTAGAACGTAAATTCGTCTTTTTCTTGATGTGGCATGCAGAATCTGTATGTGGGACATATGTGCATCTTGTCGTATATGAGATAAAGAATTTACGATCTTCGATAGAATTCTAATATATAAGTACATGATCTTTTCTTATAAAATCTTAAACTTATTCTCAAAATTTTCAACTTTTGTTCAACAATGTGCACACTTCGAGAACACATGTGTTCTTAAGAACAGAGTTCTGAAACTTGATCTGTCGATGTTTGGTCAGTGATTCGATCCACGTCGAGTCAGGTTCTAAACTACGGAGTTAGGATGTAAGTTACAAAGTTTTCTCCAAGTCTGCAAGTCTCCAATGGACAGTATTTATATGCATAATACAATAGAAATGACGGTCAAAAGAAGGATTAAGCATATCACCGGAACAAAAAAAATAACGTTGGTTTTGAGTTGTTGAAAAGTGTTTTTTCATGTTCAGCACACTCGATAACCCGTAAGATTTTCTATTTTTGGCGAGGGGTACTTCCAAGAGTTTAGGAAAAATTTTGAAACAAAATGGCGCAGAAAAATTTCCATGGGAAAGTAATATTAGTTTGAAATTTTTCCTCAACTTTTTGAAGTACCCCTCGTCAAAAATAGAAAATCTTCTGGGTTATCGAGCGTGCTGAACACGAAAAAGCACTTATCAGCGACTCAAAACCAACTTTATTTTTTTTCCGGTGATATGATCCAGTCCAAAACGAAGAACAGAAATATGTTTTTCGACTTGATGTTTTCTATAGAAAACAAATGTCCTAAACAGAGTTCTGAAAACATGAAGAACTCAGTTTCTGTTCTCTTTTAAAATAAAAAGTTAGTTTTACGAATTTTCAGAAAACATACGGCAGTTTCCTATTTGGGGCAAATGAAAAACACAATTTCAGTTTTCTGCAGAGGTCGCCTTTTTAGCGTATATGACCATTAGCAGACCGTTCCATTTGAGATGAGAATAGTGGAAAAGTTAGAGTATTGAACAGATATGCTCTCGCAACTGCTGTAAGAAAAAAAAATCAGTTTTACCCATTGATAACTTTGTGCTGTGGTGTATCATTATTTTACCTGTTCAAAACACAAAATTAATTAAGAATACGTTTTCAAACAGTTTTTCAAGAAATTATCTACTTTAGGTGAAGTGCAGCGAAAAATGACAACCATTGTTGCTCAACCAATTTCATCCGCGTTGTTTATCCCACCTTTACAAGGTAGTCTTTCTGTAGAAGAAGATAATAAACTATCAGATATACTATCGGCCGACGATGAACTAGCCATCAATACCATTTATGATTATTGGTTTGGTAAGAATACGAATACATGGTCTAAAGCGTATCCTCTAATGACAAAATTATGGTGTAAAGTTCAATATGATACTGACAAAACCATCACCGAAAAATTTGAAAAATATTTAATTGAAGCATCGAATAACGATAGTGGAATGTATCATCGATGGCAATTAACGGATCGTGGTAAACTTGTTTTAATTCTAATATTCGATCAGTTTTCACGAAATATTTATCGTAGTACACCAAAAATGTTTGCATATGATCAATTGGCATTAAATTTATCTCTACAAATCATCAATGAACAACATATAACATTGTACAGTTTACCAGAAAGAATATTTATTTATTTTCCGCTTGTTCATTCAGAAAATATTATTTATACAACAAAAGGTGTACAATTAATGAATGACCTACTAACTAGTGTGACACAGCGTGATTTACGAAAACAATGTAGATCAATTGCTCAATCATGTCGAACACATCAACATCTCCTTGAACTATTTGGACGTTATCCACATCGAAATCAAGTATTAGGCAGACAATCAACACACGACGAAGAAACTTATTTGAAAACTGCTCGAAATGAATTTGTTAACTCGGTAAACTCCATCAAACCACAACCAACACTTGAAATTAATGACAGTAATAATAACTCATCAACGGCTGTTGCAAAGTCAGTTCAACCATTAAAAATTTTGGTGTTGCATAGTTTTCGTCAAAATGCGAATAGTTTACGTCGCACAATGAAAAATTTGTTAAAAGAATTGAAAGACATTGGTACATTTTTTTTTGCAGATGCTCCGTTACCGTACAACCCAACGAGCGAAGTCAACCAAGAATTGTTACCGACATTCGATGATGGTAATTTACCCGAAACGTCGTATCAACGACAATGGTGGAATGTATCGAAAGACAACCGAATGTATCATCAGTTGGATGTATCCATTTATTATCTTGACCAATTATTCAAATCAGCTGGACCATTTGATGGCATTTTAGGTTTTTCAGTATGTTTCTAACTATTAATCTTCAATAGTAACTGTTTCCATCGATATTATTTTTTTTCCTAGCAAGGTGGTACATTAGCTGGTATTTTAGCTGCGTTGCAACCAGTTGGTAATATATCATTTCGTTTTGCGATTTTAATCTCTGGTTATCCATCGCGTGCTGATATTCATGTAGAAATAATGAAACAAAATTATATTCAAAATGTACCATCGTTGCATATTTATGGTATTAAAGATGATATCGTTGATAATGAACAAACATTACAATTAGCATCAGTCTTTAAAAATTCAACCATTGTTCAGCATCAAGGTGGTCATTTTACGCCCAATGAATGGCCAAATACAAGTATTAAATTATTTTTGCTTGAACAACAGAAGTGTCGAATAACGAAGAAACAAGAGACAGATGCCACTTTTGGTCAACAACAGTTATTAATGACATTTCATGAGAAAATAGAAGCCGTAATCCTAAATTATGAAAAACAGTCATCGCAGATATCTCCTGTTGGGTTATCAAAACAAATTGATGAAACGAATATGAATGTATTGATAGAAGGAATAGATCATTATTTGTTTGAAGATATTGTATTGTTGATTTGGTGTAAACGAACAACATTTCATAATCCAGAACCAAAAACTGATGGTAAAACATTTTTTTATTATTGGATTTTGTTATATCTGAAAAAACCGGATGAAATGTTAGAATACCTCGACACTATCCCAAAATATGGTAGTTGGGCTGATTTGAAAACACTCGCTGTTTGTGCAGATAAAATGAAAACCATTGAACAAAAAGAATGTCTAGAAAAGCTACAACACGCATGTGTTAAAATGTTTGGCGAACAATTAAAACGAGATTATCGATTAGTACTGCATCAACCAAATAATTACCTAAATGAAAAAGAAGAAATAGAGGATATTAAAAAACAAGAATGGTTGACAGATTGTGCTAAAGAAGCACCAAGAATTGGAAATAAACATTATAACTATAGTACAGGTAAGAAAAATTTTAAATTTGATAAAAATTCCACGTATTCAGGATGATTAGAATGCATGTTTCTATCTTCTAGTAATGGCTAAAGAGGTCGCCAAATACTTGAAACCTGTTCCCGATAATATAACCGATCAAAAACAACTGGATGCTGAAAAAGGTTGTTCTTATCAATACTATAAAAGTTTAATATTGGCTGTTTGTCAAGTTTTGGAAAAAGCATCACCAAGTTTTATTGATAAACTAATGAAAGCACAAAGTCGCAAAGATCGTGCATTACAATATACAAAAGAGCAACGTGAACAATTGTTAAATGCTCCACCATCATTCTGTGTTTTGCATCCTAAGCCTCAGCCACGTAAACACAATGATAACAAATTATTTAAAGAACGTAAATGAATCTTTTTTTTTTTCAGTTATGCCACGTCCATTAGAAGAATTAGAACCGTTACTTGAACATTTGTCACTAGATAAGGATGGTCCAGTTGATGATAAACAGTCAATTGTGTTTCCTCGTGGTGCCATTATGACGGGTGGACGATTAGATTTATGTAAACAAATTGTTGGTCCCGATGGTATCCGACCATTATTAAATGCAATGGAACATAGTTCAGTAATACATAGATTATTGTTAGGTAGGTCCCAAAAGTTTTCCCCAAACTGCCTAAATTTCTCGAACTTTTCGCAGTGCAAGCCATGTTTTTTCCTACTTACTCAGTTGCATCCAAGTTACATTTTTTACTTAACAAGGGACGGTTCATATATCACACAGTAGATTCACATGCTTGTTTGCTGTAGATTACTTTTCTTTCTTCTTGTATCTCGATTTTTCTTGTCATTATAGCACGGTTGTTTCTCTGCATTTCGAAGTATATCCGATCTTTATTTTTATTACCTGGTATTTGAGAAAACATTAAAGGAGTTGACTCGGCGTTTTCGTGCTTGGTTGATGCGCCGGTGTTTATAAAAAGCACAGGATGATAAATTATAGTTCTCTGCAAATTTGCATAAATCCCACTGTTTAAGCGCTCGCACAGAAAACGTCTATTGCACTATTTATCTATGAACCTCTTCTGCCGCAGCTGCCTTGACAAAATAGTAATAAAGAAACGTAGAAAGGCTATAAATATTATCACTGCTTTGGTGTTTTCTCGGTGTATTTAGATTTTTAGCTATTTGCTTCTACAATTGTAACTGTCTAAAGTTGTAGGATGCTTCCAACGGAGGCAGATGTGGTGAATAGAAAAGCTTATTTTTTGGTGTTCTTAAACAAAATGCCTATACAGTGGCGGTCCGAAGAAGTTAGAGCAGGAGGGGGACATAGTCCAAAAACGGAGAAAGTAGTCAACAAATTTCCGCAATTAACATATTTTGTTGCCTCTTATTTCAAACGCAGCAACTTTCTTTGGGCTCCAGGAACAAATCTTAAAAAATGCATAACTCCAGAAAGAGAGGTCAGAGAGCTAAGGGATGTCTCATTTTGTAAATGGCACTGAACTGTACATTATGACATGTTTAAGTTGAACATCGAAAGGCTTAACAGAAGAGAAAACGAAAAGTATTCTTTGACAGATTCAACTTTCGATGTCGATCCCAGTTAATGAATCGTGAAGAAATTTTGTTCTGCTGTCATATTAGCTCCAATCAATCGGTCTATATAGTAGAAGTCATATCACTATCAGATGATTAATTCTTTGCATTCTGAAGTCTACAACTATGACCGGTACAATGATAGGGTTAGATTTTCAATCTTGTAATGTCATTTTTGACGAGCCAGACACACAATAACTTAAGACGATAACATTTTTTTTATAAAACTTGAGCAGTCCTCTGTTTTAATTATTTTTATATATAATAATGCACATAATGCCCCATCCCGTTACTCCTTTGTCATACATCCAGATTAAAATACATTTTTCTCGAAATTTGGAATTCGTTGCGATTTATGATTTTCCACGCACTCTAAAACACTGTGGAAAACGACAACAACAACATGTATCTATATTCTCATAATCATCGACAGGGGACAGTCAGCTGCTTTCTTAGACTATGTGCGATGTGAACATATCATAAGAGTTAGTCTACATCATATAAGAGTTAGTCAAAAAAAAGATGTGACGTGCATTGAGAAACAATGCAACTCAAGGCATAATTGGCAAAAGCTGGATGAACTCTGGTTGGGGAAAATCATATGAGCACACCTCCATGATGCCAACAGTAATACTAAACAAACTTTTTTACCGTGTTTTTAGGCAATAATAGTGTTGGCATGGTTGGGGCTGAGGCAATTGCGGACTATATACGTAATAATCATGACTCTAAAATTGATACGTGGTACATTGCTTGTAATAAATTCGATAGCAATTGTATGGCACTCATTTGTGATTCATTGATATCAGACACCAAAGTTAAGGCATTGTGGTTAAAACGAAATCCCATCTTAGCAGCAGGAGCTGTCCACGTCTCAAAAATGTTATCTCTGAATAAATATTTGCAAATATTAGATTTAG